GAGATGTTATCAACAAATTTGTTGAAAATAAGAAAAAAGTTTTGGGGGTGAGATTAAAAAGTAAGGAAGCCTAGACAACAAATGGATTTGTCAGTTAAAAATAGGAGAGGAGAGTTATTAAATGGAGAGTTAGAGGTATTGGGAAGATGGAGGGAATATTTTGAGGAATTGTTAAATGTTGATGAAGATAGGGAAGCTGTGATTTCGTGTATAGGGCAAGACAGAATAACATCTTGTAGGAGTGAGGAAGAGCCAGTTGTGAGTGTGGGGGAAGTTCGTGAGGCAGTAGGTAAAATGAAAGGGGGTAAGGCAGCCGGGATTGATGGGATAAAGATAGAAATGTTAAAAGCATGTGGGGATATAGTTTTGGAGTGGTTGGTGCAATTATTTAATAAATGTATGGAAGAGGGTAAGGTACCTAGGGATTGGCAGAGAGCATGCATAGTTCCTTTGTATAAAGGCAAAGGGGATAAAAGAGAGTGCAAAAATTATAGGGGGATAAGTCTGCTGAGTATACCTGGTAAAGTGTATGGTAGAGTTATTATTGAAAGAATTAAGAGTAAGACGGAGAATAGGATAGCAGATGAACAAGGAGGCTTTAGGAAAGGTAGGGGTGTGTGGACCAGGTGTTTACAGTGAAACATATAAGTGAACAGTATTTAGATAAGGCTAAAGAGGTCTTTGTGGCATTTATGGATTTGGAAAAGGCGTATGACAGGGTGGATAGGGGGGCAATGGTGCAGATGTTGCAAGTGTATGGTGTAGGAGGTAGGTTACTGAAAGCAGTGAAGAGTTTTTTACGAGGATAGTGAGGCTCAAGTTAGAGTATGTAGGAAAGAGGGAAATTATTTCCCAGTAAAAGTAAGCCTTAGACAGGATGTGTGATGTCACCGTGGTTGTTTAATATATTTATAGATGGGGTTGTAAGAGAAGTAAATGCGAGGGTCTTGGCAAGAGGCGTGGAGTTAAAAGATAAAGAATCACACACAAAGTGGGAGTTGTCACAGCTGCTCTTTGCTGATGACACTGTGCTCTTGGGAGATTCTGAAGAGAAGTTGCAGAGATTGGTGGATGAATTTGGTAGGGTGTGCAAAAGAAGAAAATTAAAGGTGAATACAGGAAAGAGTAAGGTTATGAGGATAACAAAAAGATTAGGTGATGAAAGATTGAATATCAGATTGGAGGGAGAGAGTATGGAGGAGGTGATGTATTCAGATATTTGGGAGTGGACGTGTCAGCGGATGGGTCTATGAAGGATGAGGTGAATCATAGAACTGATGAGGGGAAAAGAGTGAGTGGTGCACTTAGGAGTCTGTGGAGACAAAGAACTTTGTCCTTGGAGGCAAAGAGGGGAATGTATGAGAGTATAGTTTTACCAACGCTCTTATATGGGTGTGAAGCATGGGTGATGAATGTTGCAGCGAGGAGAAGGCTGGAGGCAGTGGAGATGTCATGTCTGAGAGCAATGTGTGGTGTGAATATAATGCAGAGAATTCGTAGTTTGGAAGTTAGGAGGAGGTGCGGGATTACCAAAACTGTTGTCCAGAGGGCTGAGGAAGGGTTGTTGAGGTGGTTCGGACATGTAGAGAGAATGGAGCGAAACAGAATGACTTCAACAGTGTATCAGTCTGTAGTGGAAGGAAGGTGGGTAGGGGTTGGCCTAGGAAAGGTTGGAGGGAGGGGGTAAAGGAGGTTTTGTGTGCGAGGGGCTTGGACTTCCAGCGGGCATGCGTGAGTATGTATGATAGGAGTGAATGGAGACAAATGGTTTTTAATACTTGACGTGCTGTTGGAGTGTGAGCAAAGTAACATTTATGAAGGGGTTCAGGGAAACCGGCAGGCCGGACTTGAGTCCTGGAGATGGGAAGTACAGTGCCTGCACTCTGAAGGAGGGGTGTTAATGTTGCAGTTTAAAAACTGTAGTGTAAAGCACCCTTCTGGCAAGACAGTGATGGAGTGAATGATGGTGAAAGTTTTTCTTTTTCGGGCCACCCTGCCTTGGTGGGAATCGGCCAGTGTTAATAAAATAATAATAAAAAATAAGATTGTCAGAGTGGAAGATATGAATTTCAGTAGACTAAAAAATCCTATACTACTAACTGAATGAAGTGTATGATAGTGAATAGTGCATATGGTTTCACACAATGTGTTTAAAAGGTGTAATAGTACAATAGTATCTCATTTAAAAACCACTGCTTATGATGAAATATTGCACAACTTAGAACCATTTTAAAATAAAAATAAATGAAAGAAAAATGCAGTTACCTTTCCAAGACTTTCAGCTCCTTTTAGTCCTCCAGGCAACACAATGGCATCATAAGGACCTTTAGATACAGCATCATCAAGGGCAACATCAGGAACAATTACCACATCTCTGCTGCAATGTACAGCAGTAGCACCAGCCAACCCTGCTACAGTTACAGTTATCTGTAATAAAAACATTTACTGTATATTTTGAATTTCATGTGTCTATTAATTTAATGCACCTAAAGAACTGAGGAGACGACATTAATTTTTTTTATGTGCCTGCATCATGATACAATATTATACCAACCAGTTTACGCTGTGTATGATAATCGTACTTATGCTCATGCATGCTAGTGGCTTTCTTTGTGCTGAACAATACTTTATTAATTGTAAACCACAGTTTGTATACTACACAGAAATAAATTTTTTTATTTTTATTTTTTTATTTTGTACCCATATAAATTTGGCAAACCTGGTCACAAATCCAGTACGCACAATAAAATCATAACACTTGGTTAATCTTACTACTTATGTCATTATACGTATACATATTACACACGGGAATGCTATACCTGTAAGGGTTATACACCATCTGGAGAAATGAGAGGCATTTAAGTTCAATCCAAAGGGGAGGACATTTCCTCATTCCTTTGATCAAGAGCCCATCCCTGGCATCAAGGCAATATTAGTCAATGTTATCCTTAAATGGCATCTACTGTTGTACGAATTAGTAGCCTTATCAATACTACCTAGAAACCTCTAGCTAAGAGATATCCTGGTTGTCCCTTCCCTATCTATGATTACATCTGTACAGCCCAGCTTCTCTGAAACAAGTGAAAACTTAGTACAAAACTCTCAAGATCAAGGATTGCAGAGCCGAGTCTTGTCAACTGACAATTACTGGAGAATCTTCAGATCTTGCCAGAATGTACAGCAAAGCAAATAAATCATTTTGCTTTAAAGCTAAGACAAATTCCACCAAAAAGCGGCTTTTTGTTTGTTACAATTTCCTGTTTGCTAAATGAATCAATTAAATATTTATTACATCCTGGGTGTCATTTGGTTACCCAAGAATTCTTTTCACAACATACTCGCCTCAAACAAGGAGTGTCTGTGGTTCAATCCATGGCATGGATGGAAACATTGCATATGTTTCCTTACACCTGCTATCCCTGTTCACCTAGCAGTAAGTAGGTACCTGGGTGTTAGTTAACTTGTGTGGATCGCATTCTGGGGGACAAGATTGAAGGACTCCAACTCAAATAAGACAGACAGTCCTCAATGACGCACCGACTTTCTTGGGTTATCCTGGGTGGCTAACCTTCCCCACATTAAAAATCTGAACAAATTTTATCTTGCCCCTGGTATACCCATACTAGACTGACAATCATCTTACAGCGATTCCTCTAGAAAAGGGTCAAATTCTCACAGCCAGCTGCTCAACTGCATAATGTAACCACCTCAAGAATATAGATTAACATGACCCAGTGAATCCAAGGTACAAATGTACTGGAGCAATTAATATGGTGCCCTTCAACTTGTCAGCCTCCAGGTACTGGGAAAAAATGTCACTGTAAATAATTTTAGGATAATGTGTAACTAGGATCTGATTTCAATGGTAACTTCTGTGAAATATGTATGACTATCCTTTGATTCTTCCTGATCAGAATATTATTACATCCATGGGGAGGAGTGCTAAACCTGTAGGGGTCATGCAGCACCTGGGGAATGGAATGCAAGTTTATTATGGTACAGGTACACACAAGTACAATTCTCACGCATAATTTAACATGTGTAAATTTCCTAAAAAAAAAAACAGAAAAATTCAGGCTTGATTAATGGAACTGGAGCACTGGTCTAACTCCTTGGATTAAGAACCCCTCACCAGAATCAAGGAACCTCTTTTGAGGGACTGCTGATCAGAATGCACATGGCGAAGACATCGTCAAGTTGAGTAACCTATGGTTTTCAGTCACAGCGACTTTGTAAAATAAAACCACGAGTTATTCAACATAATTTAGGCCTATTTTAGTTAGATTCTACATTAGTGCTTGCCCATTATTTTACTAATTTAAACAGAATATGGTTGAATACTTCACCAGAAAGAAAATATAATACATACATCTTTATTTCTACAAGTACATGCACAAGGTATACAGGCCTAGCTGTGTGTTATGCAGAGCATTTCTTGCAAATTAGGTCAATTTTGTCCCAGAATGCGACCCACACTAACTGCCCCCTTCAAGGCAGGTGAAAATGCAGACCTGGAGAGCGTACAAAGAACCTTCATGGCACACAATTACGATAAGGCACCTAAATTACTGGGAACGGTTGAAGGCCCTTGACCTGTATTCCCTGGAAAGCAGGCAAGACAGATACACTTGGAAAATCCTAGAGGGATTAGTACCAAACTTGCACATGAAAATTACTCCCTATGAAAGCAAAAGACTCGGCAGGAAATGGAACATTCTCCCAATGAAAAGCAGGGGTGCCACGAGTACACAAGAGACAACACAATAAGTGTCAGGGGCCCAAGACTGTTCAACTGCCTCCCAGCATATATTAGGGGGATTACCAATAGACCCCTGGCTGTCTTCAAGGAGGCAATGGATAGGCACCTAAAGTCAGTGCCTGACCAGCTGGGCTGTGGTTCGTACGTCAGTTTGCATGTGGCCAGCAGTAACAGCTTGGTTGATCAAACCCTGATCCACCACTAGGCCTGGTCTCATCAGACCGAGCCATAGGGGCACTGACCAGTCCACTAACACCCAGGTACCCATTTTACTGATGGGTGAACGTAGACAACTGTGTAAGGAAACACGCCCAATATTTCTACCCTCACCGGGGATCGAACCCGGATCCTTGCCGTGTGTAGCGAGAGCTTCACCTACCAGACCATGGGCCACCAAGGCTGGGTAGGCAGTGAGATCAATGGTATTCCAGGAGAAATGATTATGAATAATGTAATACAATGACCAAAAAGCGCCAAAAGCTTATGGCATCCTTTTGTGCTTACCAGTAAGTTACATTTAAATTACATTACCCGTAGACCTGCAGAAAAAAATTGTGTACCTGTGCCTAAACAAACTTAGATACAACAGAAATAAAGCAAAACGAGTTAACATTAAATGAGAGTATTATCATCAAAACCAAGCGCTAAACTCACAGGGGTAGAGAGAGAGAGGATCAGCTTACAATAGATACAGCGATGTTAACTATACATGATATATCACTCTTACCCCTCCCACATTATTATAATAATTATATTACACATATAATTACATAATTATATTACAATTATATATTACAATTATATATCCTTATATTACAATATTACAATTATAATTATATTACAATTAAAATATTACAAATTATATTACAATTATAATTATATAATTACTATGGGGAGCGCTAAACCCGTAGGGATTATACAGCGCCTGTGTGAGGGAGAAATGGAAAGCATTCAGGCTCTTAATTCAGGGAACTGGAGCACAGATCCAATTCCCCAGATCAAGATCTCTCTCCCCCCCGTCCCCTATCTTCAATCAGACACGCAGCTCCAATTCCTGGGATCAAAATCCAGCCACCCCCCCCCCCCCTCCTCCACCCGTGAATGAAGCGCTCACCCCGGCCCTCCTGAGGGTGTCTATGGTAATGACAGCCTCCATCTCCTCGGCGCCCTCCGCCAGCAGCACCACAGCTGTCTTCTTGCTCATATCTGACGAGGAAATTCCCGAAAATGGCCGGAGAAAGAGGCGAAATAAGAAGCGAGAGGCGCGGCACATCCACCCTCTGGGAGCCCCGGCGCCAAACTAACACCGTCACGCTGCTCCTTCAACTACCCAACCAACATTGATTTATTTATAATAATAATAATAATAATAATAATTATAGTAATAATGATAATTCATTGATTTATTTATAATAATAATAATTATAGTAATAATGATAATTCATTGATTTATTTATAATAATAATAATAATAATAATAATAATAATAATAATTATAGTAATAATGATAATTTATTATTATTATTAATATTATTATTATAAAAGGAGTGCTAAACTCTTAGGGGTAATACTTTGAGGAAGGGGAGAATATGCCATCTTAATAATAATAATAATAGCAATAATAATAATGATAATTATACGACTAATAATAATTTTATTATTGTAATTATAAGGGGAACTCTAAATATAAGGTGTTTGAAGCCTGGGTAGATAATTTTGACATAAAATAAAAATCGAAATTTTGTTTGTGTAGTATACAGCTGTAGTTTATATATAATAAAGTATTATTAAACTAAGCCACTAGCTTTACTGGGTTATCCTTGGTGGATAACTTGGACATACTAGCTTTACTGGGTTATCCTTGGTGGATAACTTGGACATACTAGCTTTACTGGGTTATCCTTGGTGGATAACTTGGACATACTAGCTTTACTGGGTTATCCTGGGTGGATAACTTGGACATACTAGCTTTACTGGGTTATCCTTGGTGGATAACTTGGACATACTAGCTTTACTGGGTTATCCTTGGTGGATAACTTGGACATACTAGCTTTACTGGGTTATCCTGGGTGGATAACTTGGACATACTAGCTTTACTGGGTTATCCTGGGTGGATAACTTGGACATACTAGCTTTACTGGGTTATCCTTGGTGGATAACTTGGACATACTAGCTTTACTGGGTTATCCTGGGTGGATAACTTGGACATACTAGCTTTACTGGGTTATCCTGGGTGGATAACTTGGACATACTAGCTTTACTGGGTTATCCTTGGTGGATAACTTGGACATACTAGCTTTACTGGGTTATCCTGGGTGGATAACTTGGACATACTAGCTTTACTGGGTTATCCTGGGTAGATAACTTGGACATACTAGCTTTACTGGGTTATCCTGGGTGGATAACTTGGACATACTAGCTTTACTGGGTTATCCTTGGTGGATAACTTGGACATACTAGCTTTACTGGGTTATCCTGGGTGGATAACTTGGACATACTAGCTTTACTGGGTTATCCTGGGTGGATAACTTGGACATACTAGCTTTACTGGGTTATCCTTGGTGGATAACTTGGACATACTAGCTTTACTGGGTTATCCTGGGTGGATAACTTGGACATACTAGCTTTACTGGGTTATCCTGGTAGATAACTGGACATACTAGCTTTACTGGGTTATCCTGGGTGGATAACTTGGACATACTAGCTTTACTGGGTTATCCTGGGTGGATAACTTGGACATACTAGCTTTACTGGGTTATCCTGGGTGGATAACTTGGACATACTAGCTTTACTGGGTTATCCTGGGTAGATAACTTGGACATACTAGCTTTACTGGGTTATCCTGGGTGGATAACTTGGACATACTAGCTTTACTGGGTTATCCTGGGTGGATAACTTGGACATACTAGCTTTACTGGGTTATCCTGGGTGGATAACTTGGACATACTAGCTTTACTGGGTTATCCTGGGTGGATAACTTGGACATACTAGCTTTACTGGGTTATCCTGGGTGGATAACTTGGACATACTAGCTTTACTGGGTTATCCTGGGTGGATAACTTGGAACATACTAGCTTTACTGGGTTATCCTGGGTGGATAACTTAGACATACTAGCTTTACTGGGTTATCCTGGTAGATAACTTGGACATACTAGCTTTACTGGGTTATCCTGGGTGGATAACTTGGACATACTAGCTTTACTGGGTTATCCTGGGTAGATAACTTGGACATACTAGCTTTACTGGGTTATCCTGGGTGGATAACTGGACATACTAGCTTTACTGGGTTATCCTGGGTGGATAACTTGGACATACTAGCTTTACTGGGTTATCCTGGGTGGATAACTTGGACATACTAGCTTTACTGGGTTATCCTGGGTGGATAACTTGGACATACTAGCTTTACTGGGTTATCCTGGGTGGATAACTTAGACATACTAGCTTTACTGGGTTATCCTGGGTAGATAACTTGGACATACTAGCTTTACTGGGTTATCCTGGGTGGATAACTTGGACATACTAGCTTTACTGGGTTATCCTGGGTGGATAACTTGGACATACTAGCTTTACTGGGTTATCCTGGGTAGATAACTTGGACACACTGACTTTACTGGGTTATCCTGGGTAGATAACTTTGACACACTAGCTTTACTGGGTTATCCTGGGTGGATAACTTGGACATACTAGCTTTACTGGGTTATCCTGGGTGGATAACTTTGACACACTGACTTTACTGGAGTTTACCTGGAGTTTACCTGGAGAGAGTTTCGGGGGTCAACGCCCCCGCGGCCCGGTCTGTGACCAGGCCTCCTGGTGGATCAGCGCCTGATCAACCAGGCTGTTGCTGCTGGCTGCACGCAAACCAACGTACGAGCCACAGCCCGGCTGATCAGGAACTGACTTTAGGTGTTTGTCCAGTGCCAGCTTGAAGACTGCCAGGGGTCTGTTGGTAATCCCCCTTATGTGTGCTGGGAGGCAGTTGAACAGTCTCGGGCCCCTGACACTTATTGTATGGTCTCTTAACGTGCTAGTGACACCCCTGCTTTTCATTGGGGGATGGTGCATCGTCTGCCAAGTCTTTTGCTTTCGTAGTGAGTGATTTTCGTGTGCAAGTTCGGTACTAGTCCCTCTAGGATTTTCCAGGTGTATATAATCATGTATCTCTCCCCCCCTGCGTTCCAGGGAATACAGGTTTAGAAACCTCAAGCGCTCCCAGTAATTGAGGTGTTTTATCTCCGTTATGCGCGCCGTGAAAGTTCTCTGTACATTTTCTAGGTCGGCAATTTCACCTGCCTTGAAAGGTGCTGTTAGAGTGCAGCAATATTCCAGCCTAGATAGAACAAGTGACCTGAAGAGTGTCATCATGGGCTGGCCTCCCTAGTTTTGAAGGTTCTCATTATCCATCCTGTCATTTTTCTAGCAGATGCGATTGATACAATGTTATGGTCCTTGAAGGTGAGATCCTCCGACATAATCACTCCCAGGTCTTTGACGTTGGTGTTTCGCTCTATTTTGTGGCCAGAATTTGTTTTGTACTCTGATGAAGATTTAATTTCCTCATGTTTACCGTATCTGAGTAATTGAAATTTCTCATCGTTGAACTTCATATTGTTTTCTGCAGCCCACTGAAAGATTTGGTTGATGTCCGCCTGGAGCCTTGCAGTGTCTGCAATGGAAGACACTGTCATGCAGATTCGGGTGTCATCTGCAAAGGAAGACACGGTGCTGTGTCTGACATCGTTGTCTATGTCGGATATGAGGATGAGGAACAAGATGGGAGCTAGTACTGTGCCTTGTGGAACAGAGCTTTTCACCGTAGCTGCCTCGGACTTTACTCTTTTGACGACTACTCTCTGTGTTCTGTTAGTGAGGAAATTATAGATCCATCGACCGACTTTCCTGTTATTCCTTTAGCGCGCATTTTGTGCGCTATTACGCCATGGTCACACTTGTCGAAGGCTTTTGCAAAGTCTGTATATATTACATCTGCATTCTTTTTGTCTTCTAGTGCATTTAGGACCTTGTCGTAGTGATCCAGTAGTTGAGACAGACAGGAGCGACCTGTTCTAAACCCATGTTGCCCTGGGTTGTGTAACTGATGGGTTTCTAGATGGGTGGTGATCTTGCTTCTTAGGACCCTTTCAAAGATTTTTATGATATGGGATGTTAGTGCTATTGTCTGTAGTTCTTTGCTGTTGCTTTACTGCCCCCTTTGTGGAGTGGGGCTATGTCTGTTGTTTTTAGTAACTGAGGGACGACCCCCGTGTCCATGCTCCCTTTCCATAGGATGGAAAAGGCTCGTGATAGGGGCTTCTTGCAGTTCTTGATGAACACAGAGTTCCATGAGTCTGGCCCTGGGGCAGAGTGCATGGGCATGTCATTTATCGCCTGTTCGAAGTCATTTGGCGTCAGGATAACATCGGATAGGCTTGTGTTAATCAAATTTTGTGGCTCTCTCATAAAAAATTCATTTTGATCTTCGACTCTCAGTCTGGTTAGCGGCTTGCTAAAAACTGAGTCATATTGGGACTTGAGTAGCTCACTCATTTCCTTGTTGTCATCTGTGTAGGACCCATCTTGTTTAAGTAGGGGCCCAATACTGGACGTTGTTCTCGATTTTGATTTGGCATAGGAGAAGAAATACTTTGGGTTTCTTTCGATTTCATTTATGGCTTTTAGTTCTTCCCGCGATTCCTGACTCCTAAAGGATTCTTTTAGCTTAAGTTCGATGCTTGCTATTTCTCTGACCAGTGTCTCCCTGCGCATTTCAGATATATTGACCTCTTTTAGCCGCTCTGTTATTCTTTTCCGTCGCCTGTAAAGGGAGCGCCTGTCTCTTTCTATTTTACTTCTACTCCTCCTTTTTCTTAGAGGAATAAGTCTTGTGCATACATCGAGTGCCACCGAGTTAATCTGTTCTAGGCATAAGTTGGGGTCTGTGTTGCCTAGTATATCTTCCCAGCTTATATCGGTTAGGACTTGGTTTACTTGGTCCCACTTTATCCTGGGTAGATAACTTTGACACACTGACTTTACTGGGTTATCCTGGGTAGATAACTTTGACACTAGCTTTACTGGGTTATCCTGGGTAGATAACTTGGACACACTGACTTTACTGGGTTATCCTGGGTAGATAACTTGGACACACTGACTTTACTGGGTTATCCTGGGTAGATAACTTTGACACACTGACTTTACTGGGTTATCCTGGGTAGATATCTTTGACACACTGACTTTACTGGGTTATCCTGGGTAGATAACTTTGACACACTGACTTTACTGGGTTATCCTAGGTAATCTACACTATATATGATAACTATACTTAT